ACCGCCTCGCGAACGGCCTGCCGCGCGCCCATGGGAAGAGACGCCAGACGTACGGCGGACGCTTGAAACACTGCGCGGCACACATCAACGACCACTATGACGTGGGCGGCCTGTGCCGCGAGCTGCCAGCGCGCGTGCAAGAGCTGTGGCTGCACAAGGGCGATCGGGCTACTAAGTACTTACTGGATCTTGATTTGCAATAAGATGCGCCAGAGAGCCGCAATCGACAGGACTACGCAGTTACGAGGTGCACCTGAGAATTACGCTACCGAGGGACCCCACATACTTATATTATGGCTGGAGTGATGATAGCCTCCTCCTCCTCCTCCTCTTCCTCCTTCTCTCCCCCTCGCCATTGATATACTAACCAGGATGCCCCGATTTGGCATCGAGGTCTCCGATACGCCGCGGCAGCCATCAAGCAACCGAACCGACTGGCTGCTCTGCAAGCCCGCTGGGCCGACAACATTCCCATACCGCCTCGGCGACTCAGTGTTGCAGCGCGCAACGCGCCCATAGACAGCGTGCCACGCTAGCGTGCCACGCTGACGACCCCGAGGTGTTACCAAATCGTGTTGGGAGCTCGGCCTATGACGACCCAGAATGTTGAGACGCCAGGACGACGCGGCAGGGAAGAAAACCGAACCCCCACGAAACATGCTCGGATAGCGGCCGCGCTCAACGGCCACCCCCTGCGCACCCCCTACGGTGTCGGGAAAGTGCCACTCGTGCTATGCCTTGGACGACCGACTCGGATAGCGGCCGCGCTCAGGCCCTGCGACATGGGCGCGTATAGAGAGACCACCCCCTGCGCACCCCCTCTGGTGTCGAGAAAGTGGAACGCCTGCTAGGCCCTGAGACATGGACGCGTATAGCGAGACCACCCCCTGCACACCCCCTTCCGGTGTAGAGAAAAGGCCACGCCTGCTAGGCCCTGCGACATGGGCGCGTATAGAAAGACCACCCCCTGCGCACCCCCCCTGGTGTCGAGGAAGTGCCTCGCCTACTAGGCCCTGCGACATGGGCGCGTATAGAGAGAGCACCCCTGCGCACCCCCTCTGGTGTCGAGGAAGTGCCACGCCTGCTAGGCCCTGCGAAATGGGCGCAGAGACAGCACCTCCTGCGCACCCCCACTGGTGTCGAGAACGTGCCACGCCTGCCTGGCCCTGCGAAAAGGGCGCGTATAGAGAGACCACCCCTTGCGCACCCCCTCTGGTGTCGAGGAAGTGCCACGCCTGCTAGGCCCTGCGACATGGGCGCGTATAGAGAGACCACCCCCTGCGCACCTCCTCTGGTGTCGAGAAAGTGGCACGCCTGCTAGGCCCTGAGACGTGGACGCGTATAGCGAGACCACCCCCTGCACACCCCCTTCCGGTGTAGAGAAAAGGCCACGCCTGCTAGGCCCTGCGACATGGGCGCGTATAGAAAGACCGCCCCCTGCGCAACCCCACTGGTGTCGAGAAAGTGCCACGCCTGCTAGGCCCTGCGAAATGGGCGCAGAGAGAGCACCCCCTGCGCACCCCCTCTGGTGTCGAGAACGTGCCACGCCTGCCTGGCCCTGCGAAGAGGGCGCGTATAGAGAGACCACCCCCTGCGCACCCCCTCTGATGTCGAGGAAGTGCCACGCCTGCTAGGCCCTGCGACATGGGCGCGTATAGAGACCACCCCCTGCGCACCTCCTCTGGTGTCGAGAAAGTGGCACGCCTGCTAGGCCCTGAGACGTGGACGCGTATAGCGAGACCACCCCCTGCACACCCCCTTCCGGTGTAGAGAAAAGGCCACGCCTGCTAGGCCCTGCGACATGGGCGCGTATAGAAAGACCACCCCCTGCGCACCCCCCCTGGTGTCGAGGAAGTGCCACGCCTGCTAGGTCCTGCGACACGGGCGCGTATAGAGAGACCACCCCCTGCGCACCTCCTCTGGTGTCGAGGAAGTGCCACGCCTGCTAGGCCCTGCGAAATGGGCGCAGAGAGAGCACCCCCTGCGCACCCCCTCTGGTGTCGAGAACGTGCCACGCCTGCCAGGCCCTGCGAAAAGGGCGCGTATAGAGAGACCACCCCCTGCGCACCCCCTCTGGTGTCGAGAACGTACCACGCCTGCCAGGCCCTGCGAAATGGGCGCGTATAGAGAGACCACCCCCTGCGCACCCTCTCTGGTGTCGAGAAAGTGGCACGCCTGCTAGGCCCTGAAACATGGGCGCGTATAGAAAGACCACTCCCTGCGCACCCCCTCTGGTGTCGAGAAAGTGCCACGCCTGCTAGGCCCTGCGAAATGGGCGCGTATAGAGAAGAGAGACCACCCCCTGCGCACCCCCTCTGGTGTCGAGAATATGCCACGCCTGCTAGGCCCTGCGACATGGGCGCGGATAGGGAGACCACCCCCTGCGCACCCCCTCTGGTGTCGAGGAAGTGCCACGCCTGCTAGGCCCTGCGAAATGGGCGCGTATAGAGAGACCACCCCCTGCGCACCCCCTCTGGTGTCGAGGACGTGCCACGCCTGGTAGGCCCTGCGAAATGGGCGCCTCTAGAAAGACCACCCCCTGCGCACCCCCACTGGTGTCGAGAAAGTGCCACGCCTGCTAGGCCCTGCGAAATGGGCGCGTATGTGTCGTGCTGCGCTGCGCTGTGTTGCGAAGTGTGCTACGCGTGTCTCATGTACGTGCCGTGCAGGTGTTGCGCGTGGGTGAGGGAATAGATGCTGTGTTGTGAAGTGTGCTACGCGTGGCTCATGTACGTGCCGTGCAGGTGTTGCGCGTGGGTGAGGGGGTGTATGTGTGCCTGTGTGTGTGTGTCTGTGTGTCTGTGTGTATGTGTCTGTGTCGGTGTGCCTGTGTATGTATGTCTGTATGTAGGCATGCCACGTCTGCCACGCTTTTGCGGGAGAGGGAGGTGTGTGCGGGTGTGAGACGCGGGTGCGGCGCGGCAGGGAAGAAAACCAGAACCCCTCGAAACATGTGGGGAATCATCACCTGCATCATTTGCCCGATGGGTGCCATCACCGCCGCACCACTAAACGTGTCATAGAAAAGCGGACACTCAGATCGAAGTAACAACTAGCCCCTGTCTGAACAAGGCCCCAAGACAACCCAAGAGGGCCCAAACACGGCCCCCTTGGAAGGCCCAGAGGGCTCCCAGCAGGGCCCCAAGAGGGGCTCCAGAGGGGACCCCTCCCCCCCCACCCCTCCCCCGAGTAGCCTCCGACAGCGCTAGCAAGCCACCAAAAGGCCCCTGCGACCCCCTGAGTCCCCCGAAGAAGCTCCAACGATGCCCCAAGAGGCAACACGCATGCTTATACGAAGCCCCCGAGAGGCCCCCCAGGATATCCCAACAAGCCTCTAGGAGTCTGGGGCCTTCCTGGAGCCTCCTTCCCATCCCCCATCCAAGGTTGGCGCAACTGGCCAGAAGGCTTCTCCGAAACACGTGGTCGCTTATGAGTGTATGTGGCTGCGTTGGAACGAGCGCGGGAAACACGCTTATACGAAAGGACAGCCTGTAGCCTAGAGTCGGGACCATTGGCGAGGCTGGGGTAGGTGCGTTGACGGGGGGGAATGAGAACGGCGGGGCAGATACGGATGTGAAGCCCGTCCCTCGAGCAACACCTAACCTACTCATAGCTTGCCTGTGTGCATAGAGGCATCTCCCACGAGCGTGCCTTTGGGAAAAAGCCATCGTCGGCTGCGAGGGGGAGGGATGACCATGGAGTATACGTAGCGATTAACAATTAAGGGTGCCCTACCCCTTTTGGGAACGGGCCAGGTTAGGAGGCCCAAGCCATTAGGGGCAGGGAGTATGTTCAGCTGGCGTATGAAACCAAACCGCCCCAGGTTACTCCACATGCAAAGGCGAGGACCTAAGTCAGGCTAAGTCTTTATTTTGTTATTAGGGTGCGGAGATAGTTTATTCTCGATTGAGTGGGGGGGGGGGGAGCGTGGGAGGGAATCTGGGAAATTAGAAAGCAATGGCGAGAAAAAGGAGGATGGGGAACACGATAAGGGATCATGGCGTTCACGTTTGAATGTAGACTTGTCCTCCACCAGTAGGAACACGCTCAACGAAACATATAATCAACTCCATCTCTTGATACGCTTGATGAAAGAAACCTTTCGCGAGAACCAGCAGCAGCCCCCGACATCATTCCCCCCATCCCTGTTGCTGGTGCTCCTCCTTATCCTCCTCCTCCTCCTCCTCCTCCTTCCCATCCTGCTCCCACGCCTATCTACCGCCTGTCACCCTGAACTGACCTTCGCCGACAACCCTCTTACTTCTCCATCTCCCTCCTTGTCCATTGTCTCTTTCATGTGCTGGTGCTGCTTGCAACCACATCCTTCAAACTACACGTTTCAATGGTTGGCCCAAACCATGCACAGATCAATCATTCGCACGGCGGGGCTGCCGATGGCAGCACACATGAAGCGCAACACGTCGGAGCGGACAGCACAACGATGCTTGCGAACGATGGGCCCCTTCAAGCTCGAGCATACGCTCCAGATCAGCGAGTGCAAACGATCCTCCGAATTACGCCGCCCCCGCTGAGGTGGGCAGCGGCTTGCCCCAGCTCATTGCAAGAACTGTCACGGCTCACCATCCCAAAAACCAAAACGTGCTGGCGACCCCGACCGTGACCTTACTCCGGGGACGAGCAAGGCTTCCTTTCCCAATTCTGGCGTTTCTCATCTTCCTCGGGATTCGCATGAAAAGTGTTTCCACGTGTGGAATTTGAGTGCGCGTGGCAAATGCTGTGCAATTCAAACGTAGGCTGCCTCACGGAAAAGCTATCGAATGGTACCAGCTCTTTCCAATTGTGGAAGATCATGGTACGGTAACGCTGCTGGCTCCGCCTGCAATGACGGCACCTATTTCACAACGTATGCACTAGATGCGATCAACCATCACGGCACGGCTCCGTACAATGATATAGTGTTGCCCCCCCCTCCGTCCCTCGCCTTCCCCCGTACGATCTCCGGACAAATCGTATTGCACTAAGCGCGCTGGGCAGCCAACCCTTCGAGGGACACCGCGGTGTCTTCTTCTCTGTGTTCCTGCTGTACATCCGCGTCGTCCTGCCCACGTCTCTGGTTGTGATACGAGTTGGAAGGGGCGGCTGAACAAGCGGGACCGAGTGCCGACACCACAAGTATCAGCCACCACCTGCATGCCCTCGGGAAAAGATCGATAAACCGCATCCTGTGACCAAACGATGTTGCAATTGAGAATGGGATGTCCACCAGCATTGAGAACGTAACGATGGAGGCCTAATCACGCACTACGTGATCCAGCAGCACCGCACAACGGGGAACACTACATCAACACTACAGCAACTATGCTGCCATGCCGTCCGCCTGGAAAACATCGAACATACGCAATCGAGCATCCGTTCGATCAAAAACAGACGTCGCGTAGCAACCCGAACTTCTGTGACTACCTCAAGCACTTGCAACGAAAAAGATCTGCGATGGCGCTTCAAATGTTGGACTGTATCATCGGCTCGAGGGACATTCCAAGCGTGCCATACCATAGTCAATTCGCTGGTCCACTCCGCTCCTCCACCTTGCGTTACTACTTGCTGCGGGTTCCACTCGTTTGGTTGCAAGGTGCCCTCGCTGAGTGTGGATGGGGTGGACGGGAGATCGTACCCTTCGTCATGCGATGGCAGCGCGATCATCTACGTTACTTGGACGGAGGAGTTAAGCCATTGGTGGCGCTGAAAGAAGCGTGATTCGAGCCCGTCTGCATCGCAAATGTCAAACCTGATGCCCTGATCTGTATGATCGCACCCAAACTCCTGAGACGGCCGATACTCCCGATAATGCGCCGCCGTCCCCGTGGAATCGCGAAGACGCTGGACCTGTGAACGAAGGCAGGGATGAAGAGAGGACAATACTACAAGTAGCACTATAGAATGGCACCGACGAGCAGCAGCCGTACGAGCAAGAAACGCACGATAGATGAGTGTGAGGACGCTGCGCAGGAATGTAGAAGGACAGAAAGCATGTTCACAGGGCCACGGCTGCGTAATTCTCGCCAACAGAGGCCACATACCAATCGAGCGTAGAATGGTCTGAGGGTAGCGCAGAATGTATTGCGCAGTTCTGGAAAAAGGATTCGGAGGAAACTGCACATCAGGAACAAATAAATAAATTATCCCAGTGCGACCCTACCTAGGAGTTGGAGCATTTAGGAAAGCAACATCTACATATACACCGACGTCTACATGTACAGCTACACCTGCATCTACATCTACATCAACATCAACAGCGAGACTCACATCCACATCTACATGTTAAGGTAAGCTAAACTAAGCTAGGCTAGGCTAAGCTCAGCTAAGGTAAGCTAAGCTATGAGAAGCTAATGTAAGGTAAGGTAAGCTAAGCTAAGCTAGGCTAGGCTAAGCTAAGGTGAGCTAAGCTAAACTAATCCAAGCCAAGTTAAGCAAAGCTAAGCTAAGCTACGCTAAGCTAGGATGAGCTAAGCTAAGCTAAGCTTAGCTCAGCTAAGCAAAGCTAAGCTAAGCGAAGCTAGGCTAAGCACAGCTAAGACAAGCTAAGCTAAGCTAAGATGAGATAAGCTAAGCTAAGCTAAGTTAGGCTAAGCTTAGCGAAGCTAAGCTGGGTGAACCCAGGGGGCGCAACTGGGGGAACCGCGGGGCGGATGCCGGGGGAACCGCCCGGGGCGTTTTCCACTGCCCGGCCCTTTAAGCTAACCGAGTAACAACCCTTCTAGGCAGAGCCTAGGTAGGGAATTTAAATATATTCGAAAATGCCCAACAATAACAAACAAACAAAAAGCAAACAACAACAACTACGCTATGCTGTGCTATGCTGTGCTCTGCTATGCTAAGATACAATTGAGGTAAGATGGAGCAAAGCTAAGGTAAGATGAAATAAGCTAAGCTAAGATAAGATAAGCAACGCGAAGCTAAGGGAACGTCACTGGGGGAACCGCGGGGCGGATGCCGGGGGAACCGCCGGGGGCGGGTTCCACTGCCCGGCCCTTTAAGTTAACCGAGTAAGAACCCTTCTAGGCAGAGCCTAGGTACGGAAAAAGAACAGAGACGGAAGTGATCGTTCGAACGATGATGCAAAGCGGCCTCACCGACCTACGCTCACATCAAAACCACGTTTGCACAACATGTGATGTGGAAGCCGAACTGAACCTGAGTGACAATTGTATCACGATCTTGTCTTGCTATGCGCGTCATTTGGTGGGCGCGCAGCCGGCGGATGTGTCCACTTGCCAATGTAGGGCGAGGGCGAACCGTCAGCGAGGAAATAAAGCCGCGGCCTGGTTCCGAAACTTCTTAGCGTGGCCGCGCGGCATCCTCAGAACCTCCGTGAGTTCCAGAGCATCCTGGTCGTCCATTTCCTCTACCAGCGTCATGCGCTCGTAGCCTGTGCGCAGAGCGAGGGAAGGGGAACAGGATGGCAGGGGGTGGGAGGGCCATGGGCGGCAGAGAAAGGATGGAGGGAATCTCAAAACGGAGGAAGAAGAGGGGAAGGAAACATAATGCGGGAAAGAGGATTGGGATTGGGAGCCGGGCGGTGTTGAGGCCCTCCACCCTCGACTCCGTCGGCGGTCCTCTTGGGTCCGTTCTGGGGGCCTCTGAGCCACCTCAGGGCCCATCCGGGAACCCTCCTGCGACGTATTGGGGCCCTCTTGGGTCCATCTCGGGGTTCTCTCGAAGCACTCGCCAAATCCTGCTGGACTTCGTTTGGGGCGATGATAGAAGCTTCTCGGGACGTTGTGGGCGTCCTGGAGCCGCTGCTATAGGACGGGAGAGGTCATTCTGCATCATCGTCAGCGTCTCTTTCATCTGAAGCGCCAAGACCGCATTTGCAGGATGCTGCCGTGCAAAATGGAGGACGGGCTGAGCAGAGTGGTGGGAAGCAAAACTTGTATATCAATCGCTTGGGCTCCTGAGCCGATCTTGAAAGCCTCTTGAGCACTCTTGTGCGGTCGAAAGGCCGAACAAGCGAGAATGCTAAAGCTTTTTGCGCCAGCGGGCGCAAGCGAATCGAAGCTGGTGCAGGCGCCGGTCGGGCTACGGGCGGAACGCACCAGGAACTAATTGAGGCACAGAGGCGGGGGAACGCGGGAAAGGCAAAAGAGGCGGAATCCGCCCAGAGCATGAAGTCCATCGCGGGCGTGCCGAGTGAACGCAAGGCGAGAACGCTAAAACATTCAAAAGCCAAAGGGAGATCAAAGCTTTCCACCGTTTGGGAACCACTTGGGGGTCATCTTGGGCCTCTCTTGGAACGTCGAAGGAAACCCTTGGGCTGCCTTGAAGCAAACATGCGCCGTCTTGTAGCCCTCTCGGGACATCTTGGAAGGCACTGGGGGGGTTGATGGCCCCCTGAGCCAAGGGATAGAGCCTGGAGCAGCCTCCAGGAAGGCCCCAGGGACGGGAGGGGGAACTTAGTGTACCCTGGGTGCCACCTGTGGTCTCTCTGGCCCCAGGCTCCCTGAAGCCGCATGGCGTCGTTCGACAAACTTGCCAAATACCTGTGGCTCCGCATGGCTGCAGCGAGGGCGCGCAAGCAGAAATCTTACTCTTTCTTGGTTGGAGAAGCAGCGCTAGTTTTTTGTAGCTTTGAACGCGTGTGCGCGGGCTTATGTTCTCGACGTCGGCGCTATTCGGAAAGGTGCGAGCGGGGAACACGAGGGATTGGGCCCCTCCAGGGCCCTGGATCTGGCCGAAATCGACGCGTTCCCCCACAATGCCGACCACGGCTTCCCCAATTTGGTCTACGTCGGCGGAAAGTTCGGCCGGCGCACACATGCATCTCGGAGTGGCATGACAACTTCGGGCTTTAGATTGATATTGACATGCGCGCGCGTTGGCGCGTGCGTGCGGCCCGCATGGTATCCCGTGGTGGGGGGACTCTGGCAAACGCATGTGCTGAATGGTATTGCACTGTGGAGGTGGGAGCTATGCGAAGTTCGCTGTGTGACCCGCCTGTATCGTGTCAACTTTGTAGCGGATGTTAGGCATGATATGTAAGTTATGTTGCGTAAGCTACGTGGTGTAATATAAGTTGAGCAACCAATTGACGTGGTGTGAGCTGCATTGTGTAAGCTATGCGGTATGGTGTGATGATGTGAGCTACGTTGTGCAATATGTGCGGCATAAGCTGTGCAGTGTGCGCTATGCTGTTTAAACTATGCTACCCTCCTCAGGCACGGGGGACCCACGAACATCAACGAAACCGCTTCTGGGCCCCGAAGCCGTCAGAAACGGATCGTGGTTGAACAGGAGTCCAGAGACCGATTTTGAATCCATTTCGGCTCGCGGTTCCGCCCTGCCTCCTTCTCGTCCTCCTCCTTCTCCTCCTCGTCCTCCTCCTCCTTTTCCTCGTCGTCGTCGTAGTCGTAGTCGTCGAAGTCGTCGTCGTCGTCCTCCTCCTCGTTTTCGCCGTCGTCGTCGTTGTCGTCGCTCTCTCCTTCTCCCCCCCGCCCTCCTCCTCTTCCTCCTCCTCCTCCTCCTCCTCCTCCTCCAGCTCCTCCTCTCCCCCTCTTCTCCCCCAGAGAGGAACCGACGAAGGTTTTCGCGCCTCGCGCGGCGCGAGACGCGAACTCAGGCGCCCCTGCAGGGCGCTAACGTCGCGATCCCAAGACGTATGGGGCACCGCTGGGTGCCCGCAGCCAACGTCCCACGAGGGTGGCAAGTACAGGGAGGGAAGACACCCAGGATCGAGTTCCGAGGATTGAGATGTTCATGCGTTTTTGACCCCCTTTGAGCCTTCGGGGCACCTCGTCGTCACTGAAGAGGTCTAAGGGGCGTAGAACGAGATCATAACCTGGACCCACGATTGATCAGGCCTGCACGCAGACGACGACGACAACGACGACGACGACGACGAGGGCGGCATACAACGACTACGACAACATACGACGATATACGACGACAAACAACGACGACAACGACGATGACGACGACAACGACGATGACGACGACTACGACGACGACGACGGCTGCGACGGTGACGACGACGATCTGGGCCGCAGCGTCACTGGAGACACGCCTGTACAAATATCAAGATTGGAAGGCGAAGCGCAGCGAGCCTTAGAATCTTGTATATATACGCTGCGCAATATAGGTGGGGCAATCGGTGTGGTGCAGCCCATGTGGCGCAAGATAAACAAACGTATGTTGTGCGATCGAGGTTGTGCGATCTAAGCGGTGCCGTCGACGCTGTGCAATATATGATGTGTGACCTATGCTGTGCGATTAATCATTGCTCACTGGTGACATGTCAACTCCACGGCTTGCGCAAACATCCCACCCACCCACCCGCAACGTGGTTTGCAAAACCCATGCGGCGGCGATTGCGATGGCTTCTTGGCGCTGGTTGTCGCATCGCTGCGGCCGCGCTAGCGGGCGCAGGCTCGCGCGCAGAGCGGCCAGCTGGTCTGGCGCGACCGACGCGGCCGCGGTGGCGATGACCGCTGGAGACTTCCTGGCGCGTCTCGCAGGCGGAGCTGGCGCGAGGGGACTTCAGTGCGATTCGGTGACCTGGGCGGGGGCGATATCATGGCGGCGTCGACAACGACAGGCACGATGATGTCAGTAGCGATGCTGGTAACAATGATAACAATGACGACGGCAAGACCAGTGACGGCGCCGATGCTGGTCGCGCTGCCCACGTGTCGGTGATGAAGGCGTTGGGAGGATGACGACATGCGCGCACGACGACGGGCTCGAATGGCCCGCATGGAATTGTTTGACATGGATCGTGCCCCCAGCAACGGCGCAAGGTCGTTCGAAGGATTTCGGCATGCGCGCGCGAGCGGCCGTTTGGCAGCATTTGGTGGACATGCTTGAAACAACCATATGGTGGTCCTGCGACTTCGCAAGAGCGCGCGCAGACTTGTTTTACAACCTCCTGCGTGGGTTTCTCGTGTTGAATGGAGCACGGTGGTCTCATTCTCCTCCTCCATTGCTCATCCTGTGCTGTTCCCTGTGTGGCTGCGACTTGCGCAACTGACGCTAGGCTCGTGGGCTCCCGGGAGTCTCTGTGGAATTGGGGAGTACGCGCACATAGCCGAGACGTCGCAACTCCGTGGGGGGGGAATGAGAACTGCGCAACTCTCGTCACTTCCGTGGGCTTCTGGGGTGTCCAGCGGAGTCGGGGAGCACGAGGATCCAGACGGATCCTCGTTGCCTTGGGTGGCTGCGAACTGCGCGCCTGACGCTACGCTCGTGGGCTCCTGAGAGGCACGGCGGGGTCGGGGAACACGCGGATCCAGGCGGAACCTAGCAATTTCCAGGGGCACTGCGAACTGCGCATCTCGCGCCAATTCCGTGGTCCCCTGGGAGGTCCAGCAGAGTCGGGGAGCACGCGGATTCAGACGGGACCTCGCTGCTCCCTGGGGCACTGAGAACTGAGCAACTCTCGCCACTTCCGCGGGCTGCTGGGAGGCAATGCGGAGTCGGGGAACACGCAGATCCATGCGGGACCTCGCAGCCCCCTGAGGCACTGCGAACTGCGCAAGTGGCGCCACTTCCACAGGCTCCTCCTGGGAGGTCCAACGGAGTAGGGAAGCACGCGAACCCTGACGGGACCTCGCTGCTCCCTGGGTGGCTGCGAACTGTGGTAACGCTCGTGGGCTCCTGGTGAGCACGTCGGAATAGGGGAATACGCGCGCGCACAGCCGAGACCTCGCAACTCCCTGGGGGGGGGGGAGCTTTCTGGGGGGGGGAGGGGGGCTGAGAACTCTGCAACTCTCGCCACTTCCTTGGGCTCCCGAGAGGCACGGCGGGGTCGGGGAGTACGCGGACCCAGAGGGGACATCGCAGCTTCCTGGGGGACTGCGAACGCCGTACCTGGCGCCACCTCGGTTGGCCCTGGGAGACCCAGCCGAGTAGGGGAGTACGCACATCCACCCGAGACATTGCCCTTCACGGGGGGGGCAGCCACCTACGAAACTGTCGCCAATTTCGTGGGCTCCTGAGAGGCCGGGGGGGGGGATACGCGCATCCAGCCGAGACCTTGCTGCTCCCTGGGTGGTTACGGAATGCACAACCGTCTTCGCTTTGGTGGGCTCCTGGGAGGTCCAAGCTCATGGGAGGGCCAACAGAACATACTGTTCTCGCAACATGACTTTTTGTATAGAGCGCTGTCGGAAGAGGACGGCGACGACGACGACGACATTTGAACAATGCTGATGCAATCCAGGTCATCTTCTACTCCGCATTCTAGCACATGTTGGAGCAATGCTCCGACACCTTTGAACGCACGTGGTCTGTAGCCCATTTAGCTCGGAAAGGTCCCGCACAAAAAAAAAAACATGTAAAAGGCAGCATATCTGCATCGGAATGCTTGTCATCGTCTGGCATCAGAGCGCACCAGAGCTAGACATCCAAAGTCGTTAGCTTGTTC